CCATTTTTTTTTTTTTTTTTTTGCTCCTTCCCATCATACTGTCCATTCTTCCACTAACTGTATTGGTGGTTTTAGAGGCGGCATCTCTGCCATCAATAAAAACTGCTGACTTCAATAACAGACACTTTCTTCATCACCCTCAGGTTGTTTTCTCCCATGCACTCTATATTCTCTCTCTCTCTCTGCTCCTGTATAGTCAACATCACCTTAGTATTAGAGTAGTTCTTGTTTTTGCTTTAGGACCTTCCTCCTTCTGCTCTGCCCTCCCCCAGCTTTCCCTGCTTGTTCTTCCCTCTTGCCAATACTACCTAAGTATTCTAGGTATTACTGTAGTAACACATCAGCAGTCCTTTGAGATGACATCTCAAGCTGCAGCATCTAGCAATATTCTCAGCCAGTATGCAGTCCTGCCTCTGAAGCAAACTTGTTCTGTTACTTATTTTTTCTCTGTATAGATATGTCCAAGAGGACAAAAAGCAAAGGGAGAAAGAAAGAATTAATTGGACCGAGGCGCACAGAAAGAAGTCCCAGGCCATGCATAGATCTATAAACAGCCGAGCAAAAGCCCTGGACACACACAAAAGCTTAGAGGAGACTCACAAGGAGAAGTTGAAACAAAACTGGTCAGTATATCAAATCATTTTGAGAGAAATGAATCCTTGAAGCTGTTAGTTTGGAGGCTAGGAATTCTAGATCTTCTATACCAATGCAGATTAGGCCTTGGCGTCTCCAGCTCAACAGGCAGCCAGACTCATTTCCACATTCATTTTGATTTCTTTGCATTTCAGCACAGCTCTTTTCAAAGAAATGAAAAAACCTTCAGGCCAGTTTTCTGGGAGGGTTCCATCAATGTGATCACGTTCTTGTAAAAGCTCACATTTGTACTTTAACAGCCACAGTCTTGAATGCACAATGTGGAAATTAGCAGTGACAATATATGGTACTAGAAGTCTGAATGTAGATCACCCATGTCAGTGCTCGTCCTCCAGTGGAACCTGATGCTGGGTTGTGTTCATAGCAAGAATAGTGTACTTTGTTTGAAATACATGGAATATAAAACAGAAGCAAAACAATTATGAATGTCCTGGGAGTTGAGAACTTGAGTCATTCCAGCCAGAAAGCCAGTCTGCAGGAACCCTGTCAGTGGGAACCTTGATTAGTCCAGGAACTTTTCCATTTCAGGCAGAATGACCGAAAGAGAACAAAGGAGTACAAAAAAGAGCTGGAAGAAATGCAGACACGAGTCAAGAACAGACCGTACCTCTTTGAACAGGTCACCAAGGTAACAACTCAGCTCTGGTAGCAGCGTGGAGCACAGGCTGTGTCCTCATTAATCTCTCAAAGCAGGAGTTAGAAATCTGCTTTGAAATCAACCAGGACTAGGGAGGTGCAAATCTTATGTAGTCTCTGGACTACATTTAAGACAGGACAGACATAAAACAGCTATCCAAGCTCCTTCACCAACTTAAACATACACACGCACACACTTCAAAATGTCCTGCTCATCTATGAAGCTTTCCAGCTACTTATTTACATTACTAAACATGATTAGGCTTCATTGGTGTTAAACATCATGTAAATACCTAGTCCTTGTCCTGAATGCCGTAACTTATAATCAAAAACTTGGTATTTGAAGACCATGTTCAATCTGGCATTTTTTTCCTGAACTTGTATGGAAAACTACCTGGCAAATCTTAGTGATACTTGAACTATGTAAAGGCTTAATGTAGCTACTCATTTTAATGGCAAGGTTTTTGACGCTAAGGCTTTTCATTCAGCACATTTCATCCATGTTACAGTACAACCTACATATTTGATGCTGAATTAAAAGCATCTACAAGCTTTGCAGTGGGAGAAGTAATTTTCCCTGGGCTTCCTTTTTCAAGTATTATATACCATCTTTGCAAAGGAACTAGTCAGCTGTTCACTGAACTTAGATTTCTGAAGAGAGTCTTCTTCCTGGTTCACAATAAAGCTGGTGAGCTAATGGAATGTGGAAGGGAAAGACTCAGGAATCTGTCCAGTAACTCCATTTATGCTAGCCAACTATCTGTCAAATCTCATCATCGACAATCCCTCACAGTTGAGAATGACTGTCTTCCATGATTCCCTTATCTTTGGGTCCAAGCATGGTTGACAATGCCAATCCAGGATTGACAGCTTGTATTGCAACGTCAACCTAGTAAGAACTAGCCAATGTTAGTATGGCATTCACTCATTTTGAAAAGGATCCAATAAAATCTTCCCCCACATACTGCTAGCTTGATATAGCCCTTAGGAAAGCTGTAATTCCTGGGTGGATGATATTTTGAAATGGACTTGTCTACAAGGGTTATGTGAAGTCAATGAAGGGTGTTGCACATGGGAAAGATAGCTTCTGGTTTGCTTGCAGCTGGGCTGGAATGGAATTCTAAAGTGGAACTAATTATTTCCCAAACTCAACCTTACTTTACTTGGGCTGATATTTACCTGAATTATCAGCACCAAGAAAAGAGGGTGAGTCAGAGGGATGCACATGGCAGTTGGCTTGCTAGGACCAGGATGTTTTTAACACTGTTATGTAAGAGAAGGAATGGGCAAGAAACAGAAACATAGACAGAGGTGAGTTCTGTTTGTGAGGGATCTTTGCGACACTTTCCTAGTGCAAAACCTGGTATAGGGTCATCTGGCTGTCAGTGCCTGAAAAGAATCTTGCTCTGATCACAGCTTCTAGGTTTTTTAGCCATGTACTTAGATGCACTAAAGTAATTGTGAAGAAAGACCCAGTTCCAAAAAGGTAATGTTTCTATTTTAATTCCATAGCATGATGCCAGACAAGAGGCAGAGCGACATTACCGAGATACACTTCAGCAGGTGGGACTGAATGAAGAATTTGTACAGAACAAAGGGGGAGATGCCACTGACATGCTGGAGAAGTCCAGAACTCAAAAGGTAATCAAAGCAATGATACAGAATCCGTGCTTTTGTCTTTGACTAGAAAGAAACCTTCTTCTTAAACAAGGAAATCCAGTGTGTATTCTCTCACAGGTGAGAATGAAGCATAACTCTACTCACCCATACAAAATAACAAAGCTTTTTGTTACTATGACTTGCATAGCAAGTATTTTCCCATAATGCACAGTAGAAATGCAGCTGTACACTCGAATCACTTCCAAGAACTAACAAAGGCTGTACCTATTTCTGCAGCACACGAGCCCAGGAAGCGCACAGACATTGGGGCAGCAGAGAGGAAAGAGAATGTCAGGAAGAGAAGAGAACTGAGGAGCTGCCAACATAAGAATGCAGTAGAAGAGTCCACGGAAAGGTACATTGCAGGTACTTTAATTCAAGATGCTCTAGTGCGAGTCCTCTAGGAACTAATTTCCAAGTAGCTGACAATACATACATATGCATGCCGAGGAAAGGGGTGGGGATTGACTGCTGCCTTGTGCATTTCCTGCCCTACATCACATCACGATTCTGCAAGCCTGAGTCATTGAGACATTCTCCCCATGAGCTACTTCCATCTCCTCTGTTTTGGGACTTGGAACAAGGAATGGGAAGCAGGTGAGGTAAGAGGGTGACAAGATTGTAGCACCATTGCAGAAAGGAAACAGACATGAACAGCTAGAGCCTTGTATACTTATCTCTATCTACTGCCTGGGGAAAATGAGACATTTTTTTCAAATTCTGCTTTGAATTACTTTTTTTCTTTTTTCTTGCACTTTAGGTTTTGTTGATGCCTTTCATATTGAATGTGTGTTGCGGTGAATTCTAAATAAGATATTTATGCAGAATAAGAGGATTATGGATTTGACCTCCCCTTAGAGAAGGTCTGGAAAGAAGCTCTCCACTGGTTCTTTGGCAGCTCTCCTCCCTGTCATCATGAAGGAAAGCACTCTATAATGCAGCTATATTTTATACCTCTGTTATTTTCACTGAGATCACTGGTTTGTCCAGAAAATGGCAAGTTTTACTATGAATGCAAATAAGAATGTTTGCACAAAAACTTGAAAGTAGTTTGTCATAGTGAGATTTAAAATAATGTAAATCTATATTGTTTTCTCCATTTCTAGGTGAAAAATCACTTATAATCCCTTCAAGCTTGCCATCTGCTTCAGCAGCATCCCAATTATTTGCCACAATTAAGCAAAGTAGGGCTCTCAAACTGTTTAAAAATGTTATTGCAATTAGTTGCATGATTAAAAAAATTAGTTGCAATTAATCATGATTTTAATTGCACAGATAAAAACCTCAAAATCATGCACAGAAAAACTCAAAATTATGCAGGTACTTTGTATGGGGGTGGTACTCGCCCACCTCCCATGTACACAAACCCTGGGCAGTTCCCAAGGCCTGGCCCTCTGCCTCTGCCCCTCCCCCCCCACAATACACTTACCTGCATCCAGCTGCTGAGTCTGCTTGCAGGACCCTGCCTGGCTGCAT